CACAGAAGCACCTTTTTTTTTTAAGATTTTATTTATTCATCACACACACACACACACACACACACACACACACACACAGAAGCAGAGACACAGAGGGGAAGCAGGCTCCATGCAGGGAGCCTGACTGGGACTTGATCCCGGGACTCCAGGATCAGGCCCTGGGCAGAAGGCTAAACCGCTGCACCACTGGGGGATCCCCACAGAAGCACCTTTTACCTAACGAAAAGTAGGCTTAGTGAGTTCAGGAGTCAGGCAAGGGCTGTGATGGAAATGAAGCCCACTGGGACAGTCACGGAGGTCTCCAGCGTCCCTCAGGGTAAGTGGCCCAGGCATGGGGGTTCCCCTCACAGGCCTGGGCCCAAATGCTCTTCTTCCTTCCCAGGACCTGGCTCAGAGGGAAGAGAGGAGACAAGGAGAACCCACAACCCAGAGGCCATTCATCGGCCTGTGGGGGAGGAAGCTGGTTCAGGGAGCCCCAAGGCCCTCAGGCCTGCCTTCCCAGGGCCTGCCAGAACCCCAACATCTCCCCCAGGGGCCAGGCTGGGGCCTGGGCCAGCAGAGAGCAGAGCTTCAGAAATTGCTGAGGATTGAGATTCTTCAGAGGCCGAGAGAGGAGGACCCTCAAGAGCAGAAAGAAGGGTGTCCCCGGGGTCAGAGAGGGGAGGCCCCCAGGGGAGAGAACAAAGAAGTTCCCAAGAGACAGGGAGAGCAGCTACACCAGGGTCCGAGTGGGGAGGCTACTCAGGCTCTGAGGGAGGAGGTCTCTGTGTATCCCAGGGGGGAGTCTCCTCAAGGTCAAGGCGGAAACAGGCCTGAGTGCCCGGGAAAGGAGGGAAAGGAGGTCCTCCGGGAGCCGAGGAAGGAGACCCCGCAGGCCCGGGAGGTGAAGGCCCTGCAGCCTTGCCCCGGCGGCCTCTCACAAGCCCGGGCGGTGGAGGAGGGAGAGGTGCCCACACCGTCCCCGGAGGAAGGCGGCTCCCCGGGAATTTCGAGGGACTTCCACCGGTCCCTGGGAGAACAGAAGCCCCGGCCTGCGGGAAGGGAGGGCCCTGGCTCCGGGGAAAGGACCACCCAGCTGACGCGGGACAAAACGGACGGCCCGAGGCCAGAGCGGAGGGCCGAGCCGCAGGCGGCCCCAGACCCTGGGGGCTCCGGGCGGCGGGAGCGCCCCGCAGCTCTCCCCGGGCCGCCGGGGCCGGGGCGCGACCCGGAAGGAGGCCCGGGCCCGGCGGAGCAGGTGCGGGGCGGCTCCGCGAGGCTCGAGGGCGCCGTCGGGGGGCGGAGGGGCGGCGCGGAGGCTCCCGAGGCCTCGAAGGCCGCGTGGCCCGGGCCCCCGGGCGCGGAGAAGGCGTCGGCGGGCGCGGGCGCGGGCGCGGCGCAGCGGGAGACGGCCCTGCAGCGGCTGCTGGAGCTGCACCGGGCGGCCGGGCGCCGGCGGCGGCAGGAGCGGGAGCAGCAGCGGCTCCGGGTGCGTAGCGGCGCCGGGCGGGCCCGGGACACCGCGCGCTGCAGGGGCACAAGGGGCCGCCGGCCGCTGACAGCCGCCTCTCCCAGGTCTTGGAAGGCCTCCGCATTGCCAAGAACCGCCGCTGCCGGGTGCACCCTCTGGGGCCCCCGCCCGGCCCAGCCCGGCTCCCGCCACCGGCAAGGCTCCCGGGGGAGGGCGGCGGGGCCACCGCGATCCTGCCCGGGCGGGGGCCGGGGGCCGGGCGCTCCTGGGTCCCTTCGGAGGGCGCGCTCGCCCCGCCGCCGACTGAGGGCGCAGGGGCGCGCCTGCCCGGTGCTGCCCCCTGCGGGCTCCTTCGGGCCGCGGGCTGGGAGGCCAGGGCCTCAGGGCTCCGCACCGCCCAGGAGGACGCGGCCGGGCAGCGGCGCGCCCTGCGGGAGCAGCTGCAGCAAGTGCTCCGGGAGCGGACCTGGCGGCTGCGGGCCCTCGGGGCCAGGTGAGGGGCGAGGGCGGGCAGCTGATGGGGCGGTGGTGGCTCCCGCGCTCTGGCACCTGGGAGGACGGGCCGCTCTCTCCCAGGAACACCCAGAACTTCCAGCAGCTCCTGTGGCCCCCGGGCGCTGAGGAGCCTTTGCGTGGAGCAGCGCTCACCCTTCCCGGCCCCCCCGCCCCCAGTCACCGCTGAATCCTCACGGGGTGATTAAGGAGATGGAGACCAAGGAAAAGGCGAGCCGGCAACCGCCGGCCAGCAAGGGCGATCAGAGGTAGTTCCAGAAAAGGCCCAGAACTCTGCCTCAGCGCCTGGGAGGCCAGACACACAGACACACGCGGCGGCTTCAGCCCCACCAGGAGGCGTGTTATTCCTTCTCCCTGTCCCCCAAGTCCACTGGCTGGCCAAGGTCAGAGAGCCAGGTCCCGAGGGTCAAGCAGCGCGAAGGCCCCATTCTTTCGGAAGAAGGATTCAATGCGGCACATCTTACAGGACACCAGTTCTTGCTTCGCTGGGGGGCCTGGGAAAAGATGTCAGAGGCCAGGCATGGATCCTGGGAAAGGGAACTTGCGGAGCCCGGGAGCCCCACAAGCTGCCTGTATTGTATCCACTTGTAAGCGTGACGGAATAAAAAGTGCTCCTGAGGAACGTGGGCTGTGGGCAGACAGAGCCGACTGGGGGTCCAGACCAGCAGTGATGGCCGAACTGGCCCGTCCGCCAAGTGTCATCTTTTCCCCCACCTCAGGTTCCTCCACAGGCCAAGTGGAGGGACACCCAGCACTGCTTGTCATGGGGACGGACAGAGCTAGCCATCTCTGAAAGAGAGAGGGCTGCCTTCTACCTCCTGCTCTCCTGGGACTTGCTTCCTGCTTTGGGAGAAATTCCTCTTTCCCTTCCCTTTAGGGCCTTGGGGAAAGTGGCGAGAATCTTTAGGCAAAATGTCAGCTGTGTTTATCCCCAGCCATCCAGCGTTTTGCCCAGGCCCTCAACCCTGTGGAGAAACACCCATAAGCCCCTGAGTAGTCTCACTTGCAGTTCACGACCACAAACAGGAAAGGGACACAGGATCACCCAGCAGTCCTGCAGCATTCCCAGGCACGCTCCCGTTCCTACGCCATTGAGCTCTTCATCTCCAGCTATACCACTGCCTCCCTCCTGTCCTCCCTGATGATGATCTGGACTCTCAGCCTTGCAGAAAAAGCAGACTCAGCCCAAGTGGACAGCCTTCCCACCAACACTGCCTCCCTACCGCTCTCTGTGCCCCCTGCCTCTCCTGTCAGAGTCCAGCATCTGGAGTTTCCTGGGTGGGCTCACCCAGCCTCGGGCTTTAAGTAACATCTACATCCCCGTGACTCCCAAACTGACATCTTCAGCTCTGACATCACTCCTGCGGGGGACCTCCGTACACAGCCACCTCACCGGCACCTACGGCATGGCCAGGGCTTACCTGTCCTCACACGCCCTCCAGCCCTGCTCCCCTCCATCTTCCTGTCCAGGCGCCTGAGCCAAACACTTGTGCTTCCCCACAGCCTTCTTTCCCCTTCTGTCATCCCATCCATCCATAGGCTTCATTGATTCCTCTTCCAAAGCATAGCCTGAATCTACCACGGCTCTCCTGCTAATCACCCTAGCCCCAGCCATCGTCCTCTCCTGCCAAGAGAACTCAAAATAGATGCAGACCTCACTGGCCAGTTGATTCTTTCCCTGAAAAAGCCATTGCTTATGGAATAGTTAGTACCCTGTCAGTATTGTTCACCTGCTTAAAACCCTCCATGGCTTCTTCTCCCACTTGGAATAAAATCCAAATTCCTCTGTCACTTAGCTTCCAGCCTTTAGGTCCTCAGAGAGGCCTTTCTTGACAATCACGTATCCCTTGCCCATCTCCCCAATCTCTCCCTAGTCTCATCATGAAACTTTTCCCTTCTCAGATGTCTACTTTCTCTCGTGCTTATGGCCCAGATCCCCCACTAGAATGGACACCCCCACCCATGTGTCTTGTATGCCTAATGTCGACTGCATGGCCTGACTTGTGGCAAGGGCTCTGTGTCTGTGAGGTGAATAATTTCTGAGAAGTTGGGGCTCACCCAGCTGCCAGCCATATGTGAAGTTGGTGGTGATGGGGAAGAGGTAACGCATCTCTGGCATGTCCAGTTTTCGGGTGTTGAGGTAGCGGTAGCGCCCCTGGAAGTCGTGGGAGATGCCTTCATACAGCAGGGCCCGGGTGGCAGGCAGGACTGGGTACATTTCTGACCGAATAGGAGCCTCCAGGGCAGGGCTGGGGACCTTGGAAGGCACTGCTTTGGGGGCAGGTGGAGGTAAGAGTGGGGCTTTGGGGTGCAGGGTGGGCAGTTTGAGGGGCAGACGCGCTGCAGCCTTAGCCTTCTGCTTGGCCTTCACCATCGACCCATACTTATGATGCCATTCACAGCGCAACATCTTCTCCCTCAGATATTCCTCCTTCCAGAAGTTCTGCCGCAGCGTATCCATGCTGAGTTGGCGCGACATGGTAGCAAGGGAAGGAGCAGTACCAGGGTGGCTGCAGCTGAGGGATAAGCGATAGCAAGTAGAGTCCTTCCCACAGCACGTGGCTGCCACAGACAGTCACCTGGCAACCAAGCCTCACCTCACACAGGGCCAGGGTTCTACTTGCCATGCCTTTAGCAGACCTCACATGCCTTGATCCAGAGGCAACCTCAGGCCAAGGCCCACCGGCTAAGATCCTTGATCTCCAAGCCTCTTGCAGGACCCAGGCTCAGTCTAGTATCACAGGCTTCTGGGTTTCCTGTGTTTCTGCTTCCGATCCTTGGGGTCAGGTCCCTCCCCAGCCTGAGAGAATGAATTGGGGGAGCCTAGGACCTAGGCACAAGCCTCCTCCCATCCCTCCCCACCAGAGCTGGTCACCATTGATTCCAAGGATCCATCCTTGAGTTATGATCTCTTGGCACAATCTTCCTGGTCCAGCTTTTCCATGCCTATATCTTTGGCAGAACCCTTCCCAACCCTGCCAATCTAATCCCCCCAACCACCTCATCCATGCACGTCCTTTCTAGTAGCCAGTCTCAGTTTGGAGAGAAACGGGAATGTTGCTTTAATTTAACATCAACAGAGACACCGTGTAACAGCACAGGGAAGAGGTAGTGGAGAGAAGACACTCAGGCTTCCTGTTCCCTAACCAGCCTTGACTTTAATGGCAGAGCCCCAGCAATCTGGAAGCACCTCATCTAGCCTCTCAGTGGGTTGGGAAGGGACAGGGGCTGGGAAATCAGAGTCGGGCTGAAGGCAAGCCTGGGGAAAGGCTGCGTGGCTGTGGGGAGGGCTCTAGCGCAGGTCCTCGGCCGTGAACATGCCCCTGGCCCTGCGCAGGATGGAGTCCTTGGTGGCATCATAGGGGTGCTCCTTGGACGGAATCTCCAGAACGGCTGGAATGGAGCGCTGGTGGGCGTCGAGCGCATGCCGCACCATCTCTGCGATGTATTGGTTGATGAGGATAATGCCGATGTCATCCCGGTTTAGAAATTGCCTGTTGGGAGAAATGAGAAGAGATTCTCACTCTGAGGTGCTGAGGCTGGGCTGCAGAGGAGAAGGGGCTTGACCCAGAGACTGCAGAGCACAAAGGCAAAAGTTACTAGCTAAATTCTCTTTCTAACCAGGATCATCTTCATTTCAAAATCTAAGGACCCGGGACGCCTGGGTGGCTCAGCGGTTTAGTGCCTGCCTTCAGCCCAGGCATGATCCTGGAGTCCTGGGATCGAGTCCCCCATCGGGCTCCCACATGGAGCCTGCTTCTCTCTCTCTCTGCCTGTGTCTCTGTGTGTGTGTGTGTGTGTGTGTGTGTGTGTGTCTGTGTGTCTCTCATAAGTGAATAAAATCTTAAAAGAAAAAAAAAAATCTAAGGGCCCTCTGGCTGTCTTCTGCCTCCCCTGCCTGAAAGGCTCCCAAGCGAACTGGTGCTGAAGACTAGCGCACATGCTGGTGCATTCTTCTCTATGCTGCATTTGTGTAAAAAAAAAAGAGAGAGAGAGAGAGAGAGAGGATAAGAATGTCTGTCCCTTTGTGTGTACATAAAGAAAAAGCAGAAAAGTAAATAAGCAATTAATTGCTCACAGGGGTGGAGGAGGGAGGTAACGAAGTGGAAAAAGACGAGGGTGGGAGTGAGGGGTGGGAGTCAGACTTGTCCGTGTATACCTTTTATTTTTTTTAATTTTTTTTGTTTATGACAGTCACACACAGAGAGAGAGAGAGAGAGGCAGAGACACAGGCAGAGGGAGAAGCAGGCTCCATGTACCGGGAGCCCGACACGGGACTCGATCCCGGGTCTCCAGGATCACGCCGTGGGCCAAAGGCAGGCGCTAAACCGCTGCGCCACCCAGGGATCCCTTTATTTTTATTTTTTTTAAAGGAATCCAACTTGGATTTATTTATTTATTTATTTATTTATTTATTTATTTATTTATTTATTTGTTTATGATAGTCACAGAGAGACAGAGAGAGAGGCAGAGACATAGGCAGAGAGAAGCAGGCTCCATGCACCGGGAGCCCGATGTGGGATTCGATCCCGGGTCTCCAGGATCGCGCCCTGGGCCAAAGGCAGGCGCCAAACCGCTGCGCCACCCAGGGATCCCCCGTGTATACCTTTTAAATATTAATTTGCAAGCTACATGAATAACTTTTAAAGGAAAGCTTTTTTTTTTTTTTTAAAGAGGGCTGATGAGACCATTAAAGGTCTATGCTGAGGAGGTTGGGGAATGGATCATAGGGGCAGTTTCGCATGAGTCAAAAATACAACACAGGAGGAGGAAAATCACACTTTCCCCAGACAGAGAACCTAGCACTGGGATCTCCCTTCCTTATGACCACCCACACATTAGTTAAGTAAAATATTAAAAACTATTTTAACTGAGCGCTTGCTCTCTGCCAGGCACTAGGGCAGGTTAGACTTGATGATCTCTGGGTCCCTTTGGATGGAAACATGAAAAATTCCTGGAGTAAAACCTACCCTTCTCCCAAGTCAACTTGGGTCACTTTACCAGACTGCCTAGAGATCAGGCCGGTTCAGGGCCAATCATACCCTCGGCAGCAGGAACCAGTCTCAGCCCGCAGCTCAGGACTGGACTGTGTAGGGGAAACAAATGAGAGTAGTTTGTCCCTGAGATTGGGTAACAGCCTCCTTCAGGATGGGGCGGGAAAACAAAGGGGGCTAGCATTCTCAATTCAAGGCACCAGGACACCTCCTGGTTTAAGGGACATGCCTACATTCATACTATGAAGCTATCGCTCTTGACCCAGGGTAAGAAATCAGGACTTCAAATGCAAGGTCTTAGCAGAAAGTAGCAGGATATAGTCCTAATATTCCGCCTGCAGTGCTCAGGACAATAGGAAATTCTAAGAGTTGAGGGAACTGCACAAGCAAAGGGTGAACCTGGCTTAAGAGTGTTGGGTCTGGGTTCAAATCCCCCCCTCTCTCTTCCAAAAGATGTGACCTCTCTGAGCTTTAGTTTTCCTACTTGCAAATGGGAATAATAGCCTCTACTTTACAAGGCAGTTGTGAGCCTCTAAGGGACATAAAAATACAAGAAAGCCCGACCCCACTGCCTAGGTATTCGATAAGTGTGTGGGTCGCCTAGGGTCGATTCGCAAGAGCCGAGCGCTAACAAGGCTGGGAGCCTGCTCTACGGGGCGAACAGGGGCGGAGCTGAGCTAGGACCCTGGGGCAGGTTGGGGCCGAGAGGCGGCGCCCGTCTCCAGATCTTTTCCCCTTTCCTGACCCAGAGTCATGTGAGGGATGAGCTCGTGAACCTGACATAGCTCATGTTCCCCCGGGCCCCAAAAGAGAACTTGGAGCATAGAGGCCTCCTCCGGAAGGGCGACTGGACCGACTTCCTTGACCCCAGACATCGGGGTCTGGAAGCCTGGCGCCGACCCCGCTGACCCCCGTGGCTCCCACCCGAGGCAGAGGGTCCCATTCAGGCCTCGCGGGCTACCGTACCGGAAAGTGTCTTCGATCTCATTGATGGTTGTATCCTTCTCCACCACCAGGAAATTAGGGTGGCGGTTCTTGTTAAGCTCCCCTATGCCGCCCAGCAGGAAGCCAGTCACGGTGTCTTCGTCTCCGATCACCGCAATTAGCTTCCCCCTACCCGCCATTCTCGCAGGCAGGTAGAGCTCAGCGGCGACGGCCCTTAGACGACGAAGCCCCTCCTCCGCAGCGCCCCGCCTTTTCGGCCGCGCCTCCGCCCTTTAGACATGCGCAGTTCACCACTCCGCCTTCCGGGACATGCGCATCAATAGTAAAACGTCTTAATCTGAATACGCCTGCGCAATAATGAGGGGCCCCCGAACCTGGGGACTACGATTCCCAGAAGTGCGCGCGGCACCACAGGTTCACGCAAGCGCGTTCCATCGCTCGTTCGATAAACCTGATGCGCCCACTGCTGGTAGATACGCAGACCCCAGAAGAGGAGACGCGGTTTCTGTCCTTGAAGGCAAGGTCCGGGTCTGTATCGTGTATTTAACTATGGCACACAGTTAACAACTAGTACGTATTTGTTGAGTATATAAAATATTGGACAAGTTAATGGTGACACTGACTAGTGAGGTAGGGATTCAAGTGAACAGGCAATTAATTACAGAGCAGTGTGTTAATTGCTAAAATGTGAGCCGTACGTGGAAGCATCCACTGAAGGGATAACCAACCCACTGGGGGGACGGTGTGCGCAAAGAAGATCCCCCGAAGGATTTAGGAGATAGAAGTAAGGACAAGAGGGTGTTACACCCTGGGCAGGAGGAACAGCGTATGCAAAGGCTTAGTGACATAGCATAAGTCCCCTCAAGCAAAGTTAAAGAATCTGGAACAAATTATTCTGAGGACAAATTATCCTGAAGTCTTTGGAAAATGATATTGTGAGATACATGTTTTAGAGGTAAGCGCTGCCATGGTACTGTGTGCAGAGGCAAGACTGCAGAAGGAGGGATCCCTGGGCGGCTCAGCGGTTTAGTGCTGCCTTCGGCCCAGGGTGTGATCCTGGAGTCCTGGGATCGAGTCCCACGTCAGGCTCCCTGCATGGAGCCTGCTTGCCCCTCTGCCTGTGTCTCTGCCTCTCTGTGTGTCTTTCATGAATAAATAAATAAAATCTTTAAAAAAAAAGACTGCAGAAGGATACTGTTTTGGTAAGAGATAATGGTGGTCAGAACTCAGGTTGTGGGAATGGGAATGTGGAGAAGGAGATGGAGTCAAGAGATATTTAGAGACAGAATGAACAAAACTGGTGTTCAGATTGAATGTTTGGGAAGTAAGGTAGAGACCTAGCTGACTCCCAGGTTTCTGGCCATTGCAACTAGGTGGATAGCACTAACATGTCTGAGTGAGCTAGCCGTATTTCACACTATTTCCTAGTGTGAAATATGGACTGAAAGAAAGGTCCACCCTTTCCTCCTCTATTTTTAGCAAACAGGCATACTGGTGTTCAGCATATGGTTTGTGAGTTTAGAGTGCTTAAGACATCCAGATGGTCTCGTCTAGGGGGTATTTGTATGAGAGGCTTGGGATTTGGGCACACCTGATTTGAATCTTGGCCCAAAAATCATACTTAGAGGTATGATTTTGGATTTATCATCAAAATTCTCAAGGCTTCAAGTTCTTCAGATAGTAGTATCCCTACCCACTTGATAGGGCTGTAAGGTTTAAGGGAGATAGAGTCCATAAATGCTCAATACCTAGGGCCATTCTACAGTTGCAGAAGAGCAGCTGGGCTGGACATCTATGGACACACAGATGGAAAGCAGATGATGCTGAGGAGGCGGCCAGCAAGCCATCCAGGAAAGTGCTCACACCTAGGGTGAGTGGGGAGGGAGGGCAGAGAATGAAGACGGGTGCATGTAGAAGCACCTGGTTTAGTGCCTGGCACAGAACTGGCCCATAATGCTCACAAGTGGTTGGGTACTTAAGAGAATGGATCTTGCCTTCAGTGATTTTTATTTATTTATTTATTTTTTATGATAGTCACACACAGAGAGAGAGAGAGGCAGAGACATAGGCAGAGGGAGAAGCAGGCTCCATGCACCGGGAGCCTGACGTGGGATTCGATCCCGGGTCTCCGGGATCGCGCCCTGGGCCAAAGGCAGGCGCTAAACCGCTGCGCCACCCAGGGATCCCACCTTCAGTGATTTTATCAGGTGAAGAGCTGGGAACATTTATACACTCATTCATTCAACCAGTGTTTATCAAATGTGGCCATGAGAAGGCTGAAGATCCATGATTGATAAGACATGATTTCTGTCTGCAAGGAGCTCAATGAAGGATGGGGAGGAGGGCAAACATAAGAGAGGCCCTGGAGGTCTTAAGGGGGTAGGATTCCAAGCAAGGAGGGGGAAAGGGAAGAAGAAATTTAAAGAGTGAGGAGGCAGATAGGCTACTGAGTAAACCAGGTGAGGAGAGTGGTCTTCCCTGACCTACCCACCACTATGTGCTGAAATGTCCAGGAGCAGGTCTACAGTTGGCGGGGGTAGGAGGGTGTCAATTTACTGAAATCCTTTTTGGCCCTGCTGTGTCTACTGAATTATTCATTTACTTGCTTGTCACAGCTGTCTATATTAGACCTTCCAGGGTCAGGGAGCTACAAAGTCACAGATCAGTGTAGTAATGCAAAGATGTGCCTGGGGAAGTTTCAGAGCTGGGGGCAGGGGTAGATCAAGGGGGCCAGGAAGATGAGGAGGGTGGAAAGGCAAAGGCTGAAACTGCAGCATGGGTGCCCAGGAATCTCAGAGCTGTAAAGAGGGGTTGAAATGGAGGGTGTGGTGGGGAGTAGGCACACTGACTCAGGACTTCTTGTGTCAGCAGGTGGGGGAAGATGGTGCGTGAACTTAGAGGCCTTGTTAAGAGGAGTAGACATTAGCCTGGAACAGGAGGGAGCTGCAGAGGGGCCCGGACGCAGAGAGGGCCAGATTCCTTGAATGGGAGCCTGTCAGGCTGCAGTGTGGAAGGCGGGTTTGAGACAAGTGGCTCAGGCCAGGGAGGCTAAGGGGAGAGGCTGGTGGGCCAGGGAGACCAGTGGGCCAGGGAGGTTAAGTGACAAGGCAGGGACACCTGGGTGGCTCAGTGGTTGAGCACCTGCCTTCGGCTCAGGGCGTGATCCTGGAGACCCGGGATCAAGTCCTGCATCGGGCTCCCCACATGGGGCCTGCTTCTCCCTCTGCCTGTGTCTCTGCCTCTGTCTCTCATGAATAAATAAATAAAATCTTAAAAAAAAAAAAAAAAAAAACTGTTGGTGGGGCCAGAGCAGGTCCGGACCTGACCCTGGACTCAGCTGGAGTGAAGGCTCCGGGCCTTGCATGGGGTGCTTGCTGGGTGAGGAACAGTTCCTGTTTGAAGGACCTAATTTATGGAACGTCTTTGAGACCAGGCTGCAGGGAAGCTGGCCTCCCAGTAGTCTAGGGCAGTCTTCCAGAATACTGTTCACCTCCCTCTCCCCCCCAGCTCTCCCCAGCTGTCTAAGAGTCTGAGAACTAATCCCCAAGGCCCCTGGCAATGGTTCTTTCAGGTATCCTGCCATAATCCCAGACCCCGCCAAATAGGTGGTGGCCACCCAGAGAAAGCACGAGAACAAGAGCTAAGCCTCTGCGACAGGCCACACTTTATTTGGAGTGTTCCATGTAAGCGACTCCCAGCAGAGCCGCCTGATATGTGCAAAAGTCCCCCCAGAAAGCTGGGCCTCGCAGTGTGTAAAAAAGGCCCCTCATGGGGCAGAGCTGTGCAACTGTAAAAAAAAAAAAAAAGAGAGAGAGAGAAAGAGAAAGAGAGAGAAAGCAGTCCTCCAGGAAGCCTGGCAGGCAGATAGAAATCGCTCTGGGCCAGGTCACGTGCCAGCGCTGCTGCTGGTTCTGGGTCTGTTTTCTCCTCCGATTGTGCTTTCTTTTCCAAGTCCTTCACACTCTGGGGTTGGGGCCACCGGAGGGGCCAGACACAGTCCTTAGCAAGGTGGTCTGGCCGGCAGTGCGGCTTGAGGGTAACCTCTCTCACACACGCAGACACCCCCAAACACGTGCTTCCCCACTGGCCTCAGCCCCACCAGAAAACTCGGGGCTTCCCTGACCCCTTCCCAACCCCCAGCCTGCCCTCATGTCACATTCGATGGGAGGTGCACTGCCCTGAGACAGATAAGGCCCTCCATCCCCTGGGGGCATGGCAGGGTGGGGAGGCCTTGCCGCTCATTTCACACCCCAGGGCAGGTGTTCGTGGTCTGACTGCGTGTGTGCATCTAGGGGTGTGTATGTGTGTGTGTGTGTGTGTGTGTGTGCATTGGCTGGAGGTGGGGGCCGAGGCTGGGGGAGGCACTTCTGGGATTCAGGGCACGTTGACTTTGAAGGGGCTTCCAGGGACGCTTTCGTCGCCCCACTTGACGATGAGGATGTAGTCCCCTTTCTCCTTGACGGTGTAGGTGACGTTGTATACCCGGTTCCCCATGTGCTTCACATACACCTCCTCACAGGGGGTCTTGGGCCCATGCACGCCCACCATCATCATGTTGGTGCCTAGAGAAGGAAACAGAAGGGGCTGGCTCACACCGGGGGCCTGCAGCCCTTTGGCACCTCACACCCGAGAAAACCACCCCTTTCCTCCCTCGCATGCCTGCTTTGCTGCAGTCCACAGTGAAGGAGTTCTTCTGGCCCACAAAGGCCTGGGACAGCCCTGGGCCCCGTGTCACCACCTTACTGGCATCTGAGGAGAACTTAGGGATGGAGCTGTAGCTGGAGCCGCGGCTGGAGGATGACTTGGTCACGGTCTCCACCAGAACCGTGGATGTTTCGTGAAGGCTATGGCCTCCAGACAGCCGGGGACCTGAGGGACAAGGTGGAGTAACCACGAGTTGTGTGAGAGGCCTACGTCCCCTGGCAGCAGACCCTCGGCCAGCACTGACAGCCCCCGTGGGCCACATCCCTTCCCCCGCTGTGGCTTCCAGAGTTCCCAACAAGCCCTGCAATGTGTACCAGGTCCGGCTCATCCCGAGGTCCTGGGCCTCTGATGGCTCCAGCCCTCACCCTGGCTTGGTCTGGGAACCCAAGTCATAGGGTAAGAGTCTTGCTTTGAAAACAACACATATCCAACTAATCCTTCAGTGTTTTGAAAAGGAAAGCTCGCTAAATATGTACTGAGTTTTGTCTTCTAGGAAGCCAGAAACACAGGAAGCCAGGAGGGCAGAAAGTTAAGCTAAAGCTTGGGA